TTTTTTTTTTTTTTTTTTTTTTTTGCGACACAGGCTTTCGAAAGGCGCAAAATCGACGCCTGTCTTCGCCACACAGCCTTTCGAAACAAGTTCTTTCCAAGATGTTTCCTCCCACCCATGAGGAAGTTTCTTTCCAAAATGTTTCCTCCCACCCATGAGATCCTCCCCCCTGTCACGAGCGTTTCCTCAAAGACCTCGAGTGGTCTTGTGAAAAGGCCCACTAGAAAGGGTCCATTGGCAAAAAAATAAAATAAAATAAAAGGCGGCCATTCCAAGGGCCTGGCTCCACTAGTCTCGACATGCACAAAAGACAAAATTATTGAGAATTATGGATACAAGTGGCGCCGCGGCAGAGGAATAGGGCCGGGGCACAGAAGGGGATGAGAGGCGAAAGGAAAAGAAGCAGGCAGCAAGCACCGGATGGTGAAAAATGACTTTCTGTTTCACATATGATGCTATAATGACAACCTTGCATATCCTTCCCATGTCTCTCTCTCTCTCTCTCTCTCTCTCTCTCTCTCTCTCTCTCTCTATATATATATATATATATATACGATATATATATATCGTCACAAACAGAACTGCCCAGTAAACCGTAGGCAGAGAGAGAGAAGAGGACAACAAACGAGGGGCTGTGACAAACTGTTTCTATAGATATATATATATATATCGTCACAAACGAGGGGCTGTGACAAACTGTTTATATATATATATATATATATATATTTAGTTGCCAGGCCGAACGTACGGAGGCCCCTAAGCTGACCCCCAAACGTTCGGGCGTTCGGGTTCCCGTACGAGGCCCGAACTCGAAGGAGTTCGGACCCCGCAAATAAATATTTTGGTACCTAATTTTTTTTTTTTTTTCTGATTGTTTTTTTGTGAGTTCTCTGTTATGTAAGCTACCTGTCTATCAATTTTGAAGTCATTCTGTGGAGCCAAACAATAATAAAAAATCGGCAAAGATGGTGGTGTCAAAACTTGCTTTCCCACTTACTAATTTGTTTTTTTTCTCTTTTCACTTTTTGTTTTCCCTTTATTTTCGGGGCCTGAACAAAATTATTATTTTTTCAAACTTTATTTGTAGGTTCTCTATTCTGTAAGATACATGTGTATAAAATTTCATGGCATTTGACAAAGCGAAAAAAAAAAAGAAAAATCG